GTTGACCAAAGGAGTATCGGACACAGTCTTATCAGTGGCGGAACACATAGATCGAGTGGAAGATGGAAGCACCAAGGAATAAAGCAATAGGTACTGTAACAGTCAATCTGGTAATCCTTATTCACAGGGCGCAACAACAGGCGCGAACGGAAAAGCACCGGAATGATACCATCATAGGATTATCCTCAAAGATTCGTAATAAAGGAACAGAGAAGCTACTGGATCAATATGCACTCAGGTGAACACATCTACTTATTCACGCGGCGTCTGGCGGGAATACATTACTGTGGACCACCGGAACCATACTAACAAGCGACGCTTTAGACTCGCCCGGAAGATCACTGTAGCTCGAGTTCGAGTAGCAAATTGTTGAATACGCGAGATAAACCCTCGTAGTGCACAGCAAAGGATACGACACATGTTTATGCGTACATTCATAGATACCGAGGCGGGCGCGATATCCTTTCACTGTCGGATGATTTGACGAGGCTTTACCTCTGAGTTCTTCATCCGAGAGTTCATAGATTGAAGTGCGATCCATCGATCTTCCTAAGAACTCGAACTGAGTCATTTTCCCTTAATTTAAGTTTCAATTTGAATAATTGAAGTTGAAGTGATATCAGCTCGGTCTCGGAAAAAATTCGTTAGTAAGTTCGGCACCGACTTGAGTACTAGGACGCCGGTGTGGAAGTCCGATCATGATAGGATCTCAGTGACAAGGGGATAGGGTATGCTATTGAGAATACCATAGACTCTGGCTCGTTCTTATATTGTACACAGTGGGGTGATATGTATTGGTAACTCCACGGCACTAACGTGGCAATGGTAACTATGGTAGAGCTCGATTTGTCCATGCAGTATGACGTAGGAGCTTCGCTACTTATCGGACAAAGTCTGGTATGAAATAGTCCAGGAGGCATCCCCTAGGTCGTACAGGGATTGACTTTTACCACTCAATCGCGTGACCACAATCAGTGCGCAGTTTTCCACACCTTTCGCAGAATAGTATAGCATATATTCCATTGTGCACATACTGCTACGGCTCACTATTCGCACAATAAGAATTCATACAGGGGGTTTCTCGGGAAATTTGCCGCTGTCTAGTCTGTGAAAATTTAAAAAAAATCAAATATCTACGTTCGGGTTCTCGTAGGAAAGCCTCGGAGTGATGAGGTCTTCCTACAGTATGACCTGCATGCCGCGTCCCTGCCCAAGTATGTGATTCCCTGGCCAGTTTTTCATCGTAACATGGATAATACGCCCGAGGGTTGGTACCGCGGTCTGCCCATAGTGACCCGTGCTATCTTCACCACGATGTTCATCACCACTTGCCTGGTCCAGATGGGGTACCATTCCTGTTCCGTCAAGTCTCGTATCTCATCTCAGATTGCTGAACCCGATGCTGATTATATTGGATTGGCGACTAGTCTACCAGAAACTGAATCTTTGGAGGGTCTTCACCAGCGTGCTCTTTCTAGGCAAATTCAGTTTCAACTTCGTCATGCAAGTGAGTACCGAACCAGTGTATAGCTCACACTGCGCATTCCTATTCAGCTGTACTTCTTCACTTCATTCGGAAGCAAACTCGAGCGCTCGGATCGATTTAGCGCCATGCCGGGCGACTATGCGTAAGGCAAGGGTGTTCGTTTTCGCTTACCAGGGTGCTCCAGGTACTTCTCGGTTGTTGTGACCTTTCTCATAGCAGTTTTGTCCGTATTCCTCAACTACCCATCTGGCATGCCACTGTTGGGCTCGTCGTTCATCTTTGCTATTATCTACTA